AAGAACCAGAGATGGGCATATCAAGGCCTGATCAGTGAATGAATTATTGATTCATGAATCACTGATTATGTTTGTTACTCTTTGCAGTAGTTCAAACATAGCATACCTGTCAGCAATGGACATAGATATTTTAAGCTTGAAAGTGGGAGCTTGTGTCTGCATTTGCAGTAGGACAAGTTATTTATAAGACTATGGTTTTGGGTGACTGTTTATTTGTTTCAGATTTCAAGAGGAATTCAATTATTGTTAGTTGTTTTGATTAAAACATGGTTTGACAATGCAATTGATTCCTCAGTTACATTTCGGAGTTCATCTTCGTCTTGTTTATTCTGGCTTATTGTTTAAATAGTCTTTATTACCTTTGTTCTATACCCCATAATTTTATTGTGTTGAATGGAAAGGATGATGAACAAGAACTTTCACCAAAGAAATAAAAATTCAAATGAAACATAACTTTGGCCTTTGTGGTTGAGTCACATTACCTCATGTAGGAAACATGTTTTAGTTAAAAGAATGACTGAAAGTTCAAGAATCTTTTAAACTAAAAGCTACATGTTAGTCCTATTTGGAAGGTAAAATGACCAAGCAATCCTACAAGGGGCCTAAAAGATTTGCGCAACTATTCAACTGGAACTGGTACATACTAATGTATGTGGACCAATTAGCGTTCAAGCCAGAAGAGGTGATGAGTACTTCATTATATGAATGTTTACTCTAGATTTGGACATATCAACCAAGTGCTCCATAAGTCTAAAGCTTTTGGAAATTTCTAAGAGGTTTACGTCTGAGGTAGAAAAGCATGTAAGTGTTCAAATCAAAACACTTTGGTCTGACTAAAGTGTTGGCTACCTGTCTGGTAAGTTCAGGTCTTACCTGATTTAAGAGGGGATAGTTTTCGTAACTGTCAACTCTAAGAACGCGTTAGTTGAATGAAGTTGTAGTATGAAAAAATCAAACATTTCTAGACATGGTGAAGATTATGTTCAGTTATTCATCTTTGCCAATGTTGTTCAAGGGTAGGAAAAGAAAATGTACCTTCTTAACTTGGTTCTGTCAAAGTTTGTTGTAAAGACACCTAAGGAATTATGGAAAGGGTGCAAGCCCAGATCAAACCATATACAGATTTAGGGTGCTACAACACACGTCCTACAACAGCAGTCAAATAAGATGGAATCTTGTATGGAAGAGTGCATATCTTTTGGCTACCCTAAGAGAACGATGGATGATTTCTTATTTAGTCTTATGGACAAGATAATCTAAGTGAACACTCACATAATTTTCTTAAAGGAGGACTAGATGAGAAATTATAAGCTCTTAAGTAAGGTTATTCTTGACGAGATTTATCTCAGATCAAGAATTTCCAGAATCTTTAGAAGCTTCATCCACTATTCCCTTGATTGTTCAAGAGGGGATATATATATATCTCTAGGTGAACAAACAAGAGAATCGTAATTGGAAATTCAACATAATAATATATAAGTGAAACTAGTAGAAATATTAGTATCACATGTGGAGGAACGATATCAAGAATAATTGGACCCTCAAGAAATTGAAGATTCACCATTTTACCCATTCTTTGTTTTATCTATAAAAACACAAGGTCTAGTGCAGTACATTCGTAGTGGGAGAGAACCTTGTACTCTCAAGTTGTCTTCTGTTGAATGACATTGATCCTACTAGTTACGATAATGCACTAGAAAATGTTGTTGATCAAGTATTGCTCAAGCTATGAACAATGAGATGGAATACTTGTATTTCAACTTCGTTCAGTCCCTAGTAAAGGCACCAAGAAGGGGGTAAAATCCACTAGGTGCTTGTGGACATAAAAGGCAAAGAGAGGATGGACAGGAAGGTGAAAACCTTCAAAGCTAGCTTAGAGGCAAATTTTTCCAGACGCCATGCTTGAGTCTATCCAGATTCTCTTAGTTCCTGCTATAAGTCTCAATTATGAGATTTAATTTTGGGAGTTGGATGTCAGGATATCTGCATACAACAACCAAAAGGGTTTATAGCAAATGGGCATAAACACATGGTATGCAAGTTGTGAAAGTCTACTTTATGGACTTAAGCAAGCATCCAGGTATTGGAACATCAGTCTTTAATTAGGTTATCAAAATTTTGATTTTGAGAGAACCTTGATGAATGATGTGTATTTGTATGTAAAGAATCCAATGGAAGACAATAGTTTTTCCTGGAACTTTATGTAGATGATATGTTCCTTATTGAAAAAAACATGGAAGTAATATCAAGCATAAAGAGTTGGCTAAGTTAGTGTTTTGGTATGGAAGTACTGGGGAAGCCAATTATATTCTTGGTTTAAAACTCTTATGAGACCGGCAGAATAAGTTGTTGGCATCACCTCAAACTGCTTACGTTGACAAAACTCTTGCCAAAATTCAACATGAGAATTCTAACAGAAGAATTATAATTCTCAGATGTAGAATTCATCTCCCTAAGGAGTAACAAAAGACTCCTGAGAAGGAAGAATGCATGAGCAGGATATCTTATGCTTGGCAAAGATAGTCTCATGCATATCGTGTTGGGCGTTAAACTAGACATCTGTCACGCAGTGGGAGTAGTGAGAAGGTACCATTCTGGATATAGAGGAACACTAAGATTATTGTTAAGCATGTACTCAAGTATCTTTGGAGAACGAGAGATTATATGCTGGTATATTCTAGTGGGAGTCTTGAAAAGCTGAGTTTTCACAAATTCAGTTATTTCAAGTGGATATTGACTCAAGAAATCAACCTCGAGCTATAAATTTTTCACTAAACTCAGATAGGAATAGAGATGGATCTTGTAGACCTAGTTACTAAGAGTTTGCCTGAACTTGTATTCAAGAGGCATGTTACTTCTTTAGGTCTTAGAAGGATCCCAGACTTGCAATAAGCGAGTGAGAGTTATTGGTTTCATTGTGCTCATGGAGTAAGATAATGAAACAATGAAATTATTTTCTGAATTTCATAAATAAAGTCTTTATTTATTTATTTTGCGCACTATTTACAAACATCAAGGTCTGAATCAAATTGTGGAGTATATGATCATATGGATACGTTCATCGAGGACATGATAATAGGTTCTCACAATTGATGAATAGATTCACAGCTGTTAAATAAAGTTAGACACTTTATTTAAGCTGCAATATTTTATGAAATGATTTTGTCCGAATCATTGAAAAATATTGGTGTGAATTAACATTCACATTGAAATGATCAATGAGAGATTTGATTAAGATTGTTTTTTTCTGTCATAAAGTATCAAATCTCCAGTTAACTATAGTTATGTAATTGCTCTTAATCCTGAGTTTATTATAAATAGGTAATCAAATAGTTTTCATTCTTTGATTTACCAACAAGTGAGGTTCGATCTATTGACGGCCAATAACTCGGTATTTTGGGAGTGAGATTATTTGATTATCGGTATTTATGAGATAAACAACATGAAATTTGTAGGATATGTCCCCTTGATATGTTTCGGTACTTGGATATTAAAGACACTGGCCAGTGCATGTAATCCATTAGAGGAACTATCATAGTCAAGGGAATAAATAATCGATTGAGTTACAGAAAACTTGTCAATCAATTATAGACATTCTACAAAGGGGCGATGCATATTCGTGTTATAAGTGTTATTAATCTTGGAGTTCAAGTTTGGGCTTTTAGTGGAGTAGCACCGAATTAGAAAATCATTCATTGATTATCAAGCCTTGATTAATAACAGATGGTAGATCTCCAGGCTAGCTCAAGAAAATGGAGGAGACAATTTCAGTTGATGACAACTAGTGGGATACATGGACTTGGGCTTTGGGCTCAAGTTTGTACTCAAGAGCAAGTGAGAGATTGTTGATTTTTGCTCTTTCACTAAAGCCCAATAAGGTCTAGAGTGTAAGAAAAGCCCAAGAAACCTAAAGCCCATTCTGCTTAGGGCTAGGGTTTCTTGGAACCCATATATATTCTATACTTATAGTCATCAGCCTCTCAAGTCTTTACTTTGAGGTTGGAGAGGTTGAGGTAATGTCATCTCCCTGAAAGTGAGAGAGTGCCCACACACTTCCCATTTCCCCTTGAGACATAGTCTGGAAGATCTGCCACAGTCCAGCTTCAAGGAGGTTGTTCGTGCTGCGGCGCTGAGGTGAGCAGTTCGTGAATGAAGAGGAATCATACAAGGGAAGATTCTACACGAGATCTGTGCACCAAGAGGTAATTGTGAAACGAAGATGATTCGGTCACTACAAAAAATGATGTAATTTGTGGAGGTTATATTTGCAAATAGTGGAGGTCTTTGACCCCCACAACATATATTTGTGGAGGTTCCCCCAAACCCCAGTATTGCATGCGCCACAACCTATTTTGTGGAGGTTTTGTGTGCAACGACACTATTTGTTGAAGTATTTTTTGAAGGTTCTAAACCCCCACAAATGTTGCAATTTCTGGCATTCTTCAACCTCCACAATATGTTTGATTTTTTGTAGGTTAAAAACCTCCACAAAATGTTGCAATTCCTGGCATTCTTCAACCTCCACAATATTTTTGATTTTTTGTAGGTTAAAAACCTCCACAAAATGTTGCAATTTCTAGCATTCTTCAACCTCCACAATATGTTTAATTTTCTGTAGGTTAAAAACCTCTAGAAAATATTTCACTTCCAGGAAGGTGTAAAATGCCACAATTTATTTAGTAATTTTGGCATTCCTAAATTTTTGCCACAATTTCTGGTGTAAATTGCCTATATTTATATGGTCAGCTTGAATACATCACTTTACGTAGTAAAAGAAGAAGCCAGTAGTTACATAAGAGTGTTACGATATTGTATAATTTTTTTTTCAATCAATCAGGAAAATACATAAAGATATGATCATGAGAACTATAGGTTATGCTTTTTTTCTGGCAAGTCATATATATAACAGGGGTACAACCCAATATGCACCAAATTCTCTTTTGCATTCAAATATAAAGTTGATTCTATGAGTATACCTATAAATGGTACACATTCAAAAAAGATAAAGTTGATAGTAAACAAGAAAGAGAATGAAATTTACAATTATCCAAAACAAAAAACATAAAATAAACCATCTTAAAGCTACAAAATCCACGAGTCTTTAATGATGCATCGATCATTTTACAGAATCTAAAATCATAAGAAAAATATTGAATTCACATAGCTCAAATTAAGAGTAATTACTATCTAATGAAGACCTTCCACGTGTAGGGATAGCTTCTTCACTCCCTTCATCCTGTGAAAAAACCAATTTAAAAAAATGAGGCACTTAAACTTCACTAATAAACTAATAGTAGAGCAACAAAAAAATAAACATATGAAATCATTACCATTGGAGGAGTAGTAGTACCAAACAAAGCATCTAACTCTGGAGGAATTTGTCCTTCCTTCATTTGTATATATGCAAGCATTACTGTCTGTAATGTCTTGACACTCTCCTCAGATGCTGCTAACTTGGTCTTCAACGAAGTAACCTCTTCCCTCAACCGAGAACTTTCAGCTGAATCTGTACTTGAGAAAGTAGAGCCTATCAGATTGAATCGTCTACTTGTGGGTCCAAATGCAATGCTAGGAAGACCACCTAGGCCTAAACCACGTACACGACCAGAGTGCTCTGGTCCAAAAACTTTTGCAATAGCATCATTTGTTGAAATTTCAGTGGAACTGGTGCTCTGGCTTAATTCTTCATATATTTGGTCCTATCCATATAAAAAATTCATGAATCTAACATGTACACAAAGAATAAACAATCAATTTTAAAGTAACAATCCCTTACTTGCAGCCAGCCATTAATAGCATAAAAAAATCTCCAAACTAGGCTGCTGACAGATTAAGGAAAAATCAAATGAATTGGCCCATCTCACTATTCCATGATTATATCTTTATAAACACAGTTTATCAACCAGCCATTAATTATGCAAGTTTTGTGCAATAATTAAAGCTAATTAACTTACTTACCACTATAGCCTTTGCCTTGTCATTCTTGTGAGTTTCAATATATAGCTCGCCTCGACTCACAGGACGTCCGACCTCTACTTCCTATAACATATACAAATCATATAAGTCCAAATGTCAAATTTATAAGATCTAGATATATAAAACACTAGTAATTTACCATCTCATGTCGTCTCCGGGACAAAAGTTTGGAACCCCCGGTGTGTGGGATAGTTTGTTATAGCTTCATGTCATTTCAGTTTTGACACTTTTGATATAGCTTCATGTCATTTCAGTTTTTCTAATCTCAGCATTCTTTTGACACTAGTAATTACAAGCAACCAATATTTAAGAGCACCCATGATCATGCACATTCATCAGTAGAATTATAACTGGGTGAAGTTATTCCAAATATTTAAGAGAACATATAGACCCAAATAAATTGATAATTCTAATAGTTTAAACCAAAGAAAATAGCATCATGTGTCTCAGCTGCAGAAGCATGTATTAAAGAAAGGATCGGTATTACGTGTATCGTGGAAAGAATCGTGCGTATTTGTAAATATTCTGTAAATAATCTACACACAAAACACGCAAGAGACAAAGTTATACATTAGCTACATTGAACTAGCACATCAATTGAACACAAAAAATAACAAATAAAATAATAATTATTAACAATATGTCACTTGGTGTGTTAACAGAACAGAATAAAACTTCAAATCACAATCATAACCTGTCCAAAACCGTAAAAGGCTTGGATCTGATGCTAAATCACAAGCAACCAATATTTAATATGATTACCTTATAACTTGGTTTCAGATGATAGTCTACAAATGACGACCATTGATCTTTAGGAACACCAGCAGGGACTTTTGCAATTAGTTGATCTCTAGGAAGCTTTAACTGCTTAGCTGATTTCCATAACTTTGACTTGCCGTTCCTGAACCTTCTTCCTAAGGTAAGAAGACAATAACGCTTGGCAATTGTTTCTGGAGCCTGAAAATGAAATAGATTGTTTACAAAATAGTATTAATGTTAGTAAAGTAATTAGTCAATGCTTAACAGTAGAAGTTAATAACTAAACAAATTCAAAAATTAGACACAAATTTGGTGTATATACCTTCAAACTATCATAGCATTCATCCTTGTATGGATCAGGTACTTTATCCCATCTTTCGTAATTAATAGGAACATTGTTGCAATCAGTGGCAATACGTCCACATACTTTCGAAAAAAGTGTTGCGACTTCCCCATAGGCTTGCATTTGTGTATCAAATGGCACTATTATGCGTTGACCATCATTCATCTCAAACACACTTGATGTTGTCAATTGAATTTTCTTTTCATTTCCTTCTTCATCTATTAAAATAGATCTAAGTTAGCTTAAATGATAATATAATAATCATAACTTACTTAAAAAATTACCTATAGCTTGCACAGTCCATTTCCTACTGGACTCACGTCCTACATGAGATGGACGATTTGGAAAATGTGGTTCAGTAGGAATTGATGAAGGAACAAAGGTTTGTGGGGACTCTGCTTGCGTACTGGAACTTGATGATACAACATCATTCCTTAAACGTTTTCCTTTAGGAGGCATGACTAAATTGCTTTAGGAAAAATATGAAGGCTTTAGGCTTTGTTACTTCCCTGTTAAAATATTTCAACATTCCATCAATGTAAATGGCTACAGACATAATATATTAATCTAAAACTTAAAGCATTCAGCAACAGACCATTAAGATTACAAAGATGAGAGTTACACTTTAGCATACTCTATGAAATGAGAAATCTAACTACAACAAACATAATATATTAATCTACGAAAAAAGGAAGCATAAAAGTGCATCATCATTAGATAATAGAACAAGACAAGAGTGAGTACAAGTAGACTGAATAAATTTTTTTGCTTTCTTGTTTGCAAGAAAGATAAAAAGAATACCAATGGGCAGTCTAGATAAAAGCATACTAGTATAAATATTGCCTTGTACTCGTCCCTTCTCAGTGTTTTGTGATTACCCAGAAGCTAAAAATGTTGTATTAACCATAAGCACATACATTGAACAATCATGAGTGAATTAAAGAACAAGAGAAAAAGAAAAACAGTAAAACCAAGTTCAAAGATTGCAAATCACCTAGAAGTCTTATTGCTGCTGACAGAGTTCCACCTGTGGCCACCAAGTCGGTACATACTCCAAAGTGAGTTTGATGCCAAAGTGGGTAATTGACCTTCTTTTATTTTTTTCAGTTATTTTAAATTTTTATCTAGAAAAATTGTTTTACCAGAAAAAGAAAAGTAGCATGATTAAATTGCAGATACACCAACTAGAATTTAAAATGGGACGGTGCTGAAACCTCTTTCTGGGTTCACAAGGGTTGATCACAACAAGTTCTCATTCATATAAGAAACATAAGAGACATATAAATCTGGAATTTTCGCATATTCGAATGCATCCTTCATCAATTCCAATATCAATGTCATTGCCTTGTCAGTCACACCACACAAGCACTTTATGTGATACAATCTTAACAAAAAAGACAACTTTGAATACTTTTGACACCCTTCATATAATTCTTGGTTACCATCTCTAACCAAATCATCAATATTTCTCTGTTCTTCATGAGGCATTGGATGTTCGGACACTAATGATTCAAGTGAAGTGGTGGGTTCTGATGCATGCCGTTTGTTGACCCCAAATGCATCATTTATCATGTCTAATATAGGGTTTTCAGTGGCCAACGACCCTTGCATTACTTGACAATCTCTTGATGTCACTGTTTCATACGTTTCACCATGCCAAATCCAAACTTTGTAATTTTTTGGAAATGGCTTGCAAATCAAGTGGTCAAGCACTATATCTCTAGTTTCCCATTTATTGAAGCGACATTTAGCACATGGACACTTTATTGCACCATTCACAGACCGTTTCTCAAATGCAAAATCTAAGAACTTATTTAACCCATGCAAATATTCAACTGAATTTCGTGGCATATCAATCCATGATTTGTCCATTTTTGCCTTGGTGTCAGATAAACCCACGTGAGCCTCTCTGCCACCCCATGTCGAAAGACAAAAACAAAGCCTCAAATATTTTATATTAAGTGGGAAAAAATTTACTTTTTGATATTGTTGCTAAATATTAAGAAAAATACCTAAAGTCAACAAATCATAATAGATTACGTTTACAGAGGCATAAAATGTCTTCAAGTGGAACCCACCATTACAAAAATGCATTAACAACATCACTAGTTCATTTCAGTTATTATTATTTTTTCTTTATTAAATTAAGTTACAAAATTTGGCTTACAATACCAAAAGAAAAGAAAAAAGAATAACATCTGATTTTTTATTTTCTAACTTTAGTTAACATTCTGTACATTAATTAATAAAAATTTTCCATCAAAATAAACAATATGTATATATCCAATTACCTCTCTTTCAAGTTCCTTTTTCTTTTGCCGCCCAGTACTTTTCTTTTTCTCTGCAAACAAAGAAAAATACACGGAAAATTAGTTGTTATAAAAAAAGAGCATACATTTTTAATAGAGGTACTGAGTACAAAAAACATAAAAGTTAATGCACGCCCAAGCTCTCAAATTGTACTAGAATCAGGATGGACCTAATTTAGATTAGTCAACTGAGATTTGGCACTAATAGTCATCGTGTTAATAGCCTCTAATTTGTAACTGTTTTGTCAATGTAATTGTTTCCAATTGATATGATTCAAACTCGGCATATATAAGGCTAGAATTCCATTCCATGAATCCATCGAGTACTAACTAGTTGGTGGAAACTAAAGTAAAGAGTGAGCATCAGTATCACATAAAATTTCATTGTACACTTCCTTTAACCAAGCTGTCCTCTTACTATCAAAGTCTCTTCATACTTTATTCACTCAATTATGCATGGTGGGGCAATGCTTCACACATCAAAGTCTCGAAGTCGTGAGATAATACAAACTTCTAATCAAAATTCTATAGATACTTGCATATACCAATCTTCCACCATCTTTCTTTTTAAATTTTTCATTCACCACTAAAGCAGTATCAATAGGTTTGTAGCCAAAAATGCCAAATTTCTTCAACATATTTTCAGGATATTTCCTTTGACAAAAAAAAATTCCATTTTCATCTTGATAAACCTCAATAACAATAAAATAATGTAATATTCCAAGATCACTCATACCCCTCTCTCGCTAGTCAAGGTTTAATGGGGAGTGAATTTTATTTTTATTCCAAGATCACTCATCTCATATTTTTTCATAATTTCTATTCTAAAATTTTCATTTTCTTAAATTTACTTTCATTGATATTTTAAATTTACTTTCATAATAACTTTTCTGCTTAACTTGCTTCATCAAAAACAAAGATAGAAAAAATTCCTTTTGAGCTAGGCTGCTTGATTAGGCAGGTTCATCAAAAACAGATTAGGCAGGTTCATCAAAAACAAAGATAGAAAAAATTCCTTTTGAGCTAGGCTGCTTGATTAGGCAAGGTGAAACATTCTGTGATAGCATTAACATAGAGAAAAGAACCTTAATTTTTAGATTTCCAAAATAGAAAAGAAGCCAATCTCAATTATTTGACAGTTTAACTACCATATGGTGGGGTTAAAGGCTTAAAGCTTGATGTTAAATTTAACATGTATAGACAATTTAACATGTATAGGCTTAAAGCCAATCTCAATCACAATTTTGCTCCCACATATGACATGAACTCCTTATTCCCCTTTCTATAGACAACCTAACATGTATACCATTTAAGCCATGTCAACAGCAGCTAATTATTATAAAGAAAGAGAAAAAGCAAACTCGAATCACTTCTTGAAACAGAGTCCAACAAAGAATAAAAACATATATCAGAAGAATGAATTCAAATCTAATATACACATACATAGATACACCCTGACATACAAACAGAAAACAAATGTTAGTTAAGTACTATATGGTACAAGGTACATGCAGAGTGTTGTGGTAGATCTCATCTGAACCCTTTCTCAGATCTTTTACTTGAGCAGAGAAAGAAAGAGTCTCTTACCTATAACACAAGGAATTTCCTACTTTTCCTTGTCCCCAAAATTTACTATACTTTCCACATAATTACTACTCTGACGCAAAGATGCTAGCTTTACCACTCAAATCAATTGTCATACCAAGACCACTTCTTGGTCTTAATCAATGGTCCACTCATTATTTATTTATTATTATTTTTTATCTTATCTTATACAAAAATAAGATTCTAGTTTCTTATTTTTGAGGCCCAAAGTTAAGAAACTGGAATCTGAATGTGAGGTGAAAGGAAACAAGGCTAAAGCTTTGGAAGCTGAGCTGTATGCTCTTAAAAAGCAATATGAGGGGTTCCATGTAGAATATCAACGCCTCTTGGCGAATATTTAAGAATTAACCAGACCGGGAAACAGGAAAACACAAACAAAAATAAAGCAGGAAAAAAAATTCAATAAAGCAGAGAAAAAGTTCACCAACCTAATGATGAGAAGCTATGATATGATGAGTTCAAGTAATGACCTGATGATGGTTAATGACTTCAGTTGACCACAATGGCCTCAAGTGGCTTTGAATGCAACAAGCTGAAATGAAGATGAAGATAAGTGTGTCATAACCTATAGTAAAATTAGTTACTTCTATTAGTCACGTACATTTTAAGAATGCAATGCCTTGCTTGGTTTTAATTTCAATCAAAATCACAAATACAAGTAGTAGTGAACTTTAAGAGAAGTAGAATTGCAAACTTTAGAGCTAGCTTTGTAGAGGGGCCAGCAGGAATCCACGACGGGGATCACATAAGTTAGACTAATCACACCAAATTTATTCGATGAAAATCATAATTCATAATTTAATCCTAGTTAAAAAAGTTCAGACAAACAGTCGCTTTATTCTTTTGGGCGTATGGAAGTATGAAGATTTCCAACTCAACACGTCTTTGTACATTATATTCAAAAACTCTTATGACATCACAAATTCATACATCAAAACATTATTTGTCCTTACTTCACATCCTATAACCTCAAATTTCCATTCTTGATCGTAGGGATACTGTCTTTCAGGAAACACTTTCAAGATCTTTACCTACTTCCTCATCAACTTTCTTCTCCAGTTTCCTCGCCTTGCAATCATCAAAGTAAATCACGCACGACACCCATTTCAGAGTATTAACCAAGTGAGGAGCCCAATTTGCAGAAAAATTACATTCCCTCCTTTATAGCATCCAAGGAAGACACGGGACATCCTTAAACAAAGTCCTAAAGCAAAGAAAACAAGCATCAAAAGGAGTCCTCTCTTCTGATTACCTCTGCTGAAGAAATATGAAAGTCTTAATGCCCCAATTCCATATATACCATCCAGAACTGATATTACAATACTCATATTCCAAATTGCACTCCATTCCAAATACATCATCAACAGCTTTGCAAAATATTGACCTTGTAACTTGCCATTGCTCCTTCTCATCATCCCAATCATTTTGCACATATTGACCTTGGGGATTCAAGGTAAAACTTGTGAGTCCCATCCTATATGCCGTGAAATATATATCAACTGTACCATTCCCATCATCTTCAACATGAACACCATTAAGATACGCAGTTACCTTGTTTGGTAACCCTATAAAAACCTGACCATTCCATGGACCACTGCGCCAGTATGGTTGAGTTCCATTCCAAATGAACACTTCAGGAATCTCTAGGCGTTCAACACTAAAAGAAAAGCTTCCAATGGATGGATCAGAAAGGCTTTTCCATGATGTAAGTTCTGCCTTCTCACCTGTTATTTTGTTGCTTGTAATTTTGCTTGGAATGGTGACAAATCACAAATACTAAATTAATTTGTCAAAAGGATGTTCGGTTATCAAAATAGAGCTAGCTTTAGAGAGGGGCCAACAATGCTCACCGACTAGACTGCTTCAGAGATTCCTTTTTGGATAACTGCAAAATGTAGGTGTACTACTACATGCTGAAATCACAGCAAAGAGGGGTGGGACAAATCCTATAACCATAAAACGTTTTTCACCTACTGCCTTTATACTTAATGGAAAAACTGCTACAATCCCATAACCATAAGACACATTAAAGATTCACAAAAAAATCACCAAGATTCCTATTCCAAATATAACTGGCTTTCTGGGAGATGTAAAATAAGTTCACAACTTTTCTATATTAGAAATACGTCATGCACATAAGGAGATATAGCATATTTAGGTAAAATCTAGAAAAAGAAAAATAGATACTTGATTTAGAGATTCAGGTTAAAATGGGACAACAAACACGTTTTCAACACCTTCAACCCCAACGAGAACGTGTCTGACAAAATCTGAAAAAACAAAACAAAATATAAATATAAATTACAAAGAAAAAAAATCCTCAAATGCAAATTTTAAAGAAAAGATCCATGAAGCTCACCATAGCTTGAAATGAGAGCGAAGAAGACAACTACGTTGTTAGTTCCCTCGAAAAAAAGGATGAAGAAAATGGCTTAGTGCAGATTTGGTGATGCATCTTAGGAGATACGCTTAGTCGATGAAGCTCACCACAAATGTCATGAATCGGATCGAGGAAATACGCTGATGAGTTAGAATAAGAAGAAGGGGTTAGAAACTTGTCGCTTAACAAAGTCAGTGTTAGGGTTTGAAGAAAAACGAAAATATCTTTTAACATACATAAAGTTGTAGCGGTCCTAATAACAACAACAAACTATTCAAAAAAATTTAAACGAATTATATAAATTCTAGCGGTCTCACTTTATATAAATTAACAAAAAAAAAAATTGCAAAGCAGCGTTCCCTAAAACAAGCCAGAATTTAAATATTTTGTGGGGGTTTTATTGACCTCCAGTAAATAACCTCCACAAATCACATGATTTTTTGTAGTGGATAAACATATTAATGTACTAGGTCCTAAACCGCTAAACTGGAATAAGCCCTACTAAAGGAAACTGAACTAATTTTAGTATAGAAATGAGTGAAGAATGACAGTTTATTAGTCTATTATAGCACATCTTCGTGTTAAATTAGAACATCCATTTGAGTTATAAGAACGAGAATCCTTCCAAGCACTAAAGTCACGAAACTGTCCTCTCTCTGTCTCTCTCTCTCTCTCTCTTGCAAAGCGTAGAGCTTACTCGTACAAAAGGGGAGGAATGATGCTTTTTGCTAGGTAAGGACCATCACATGCTAACCCAAGGGAAAAGCAAAGCATAAATTGAAAGTGGCAGCATAGTTAAGTTTATACAAATATAAAGATCCAGTTTTCTAATCCCTGAAGCAGAAATTCCGCATAACTCACACTAATCTCTCCACAAACATTCCACATGGGGCACTGCTTCACCAAACAGCACAGCAACAACAGAGTACCAATCAACTATGTCTCTGATTCACCATCCCATCCTTACCATCAATTTCCACAAAGAACCCAACAACAACCTCAGCCTCAACCTCAACCTCAACCTCGTTACCCATATCATGCTCCAAATTCAGACCCATCTCCATCTCAAACTGCATCATCATCGTCATTATTATCCGCTGGTCAACCTATATTAGGCAAACCATACATTGATATTAAGGTTCTTTACACTCTTGAGAAGGAACTTGGAAGGGGTCAATTTGGTATCACTTATCTTTGCATCGAAAAGGCCACAAAACGAAAGTATGCTTGTAAGTCCATTGCAAGGAGAAAGCTAACTAGAAAGAAGGAAATTGAGGATGTTAAGAGGGAAATTATGATCCTTCAGCACCTAACGGGACAACCCAACATCGTTGAGTTCAAGGGTGCTTATGAGGATAAGCAAAATGTGTATTTGGTGATGGAGTTGTGTCAGGGTGGTGAGCTTTTTGATAGGATCATTGCAAAGGGTATTTACTCTGAGGGTGAAGCTGCCTCTATATTCAAACAAATTGTGAATGTGGTTCATGCTTGTCATTTTATGGGGGTGATGCATAGGGACCTTAAGCCCGAGAATTTCTTGCTTGCTAGTAAAGATGAAAAGGCACCCTTGAAAGCCGCAGATTTTGGTTTGTCTGTCTTCATTGAAGAAGGTTAGTTAGGGAGGCATTCTCTTCAATCTATGCCCTCTTGCATTTGCTTCGTTTCTCATCTTTGTTTATGCATTTTGTTCATTTACAACATGATTGTTTGGATTCAATTTCAAATTGTTTCTCTTTTTTCAAGTTTGTTTGATTCCAACTTTAGATTAGACATTGTTCTAAGGAAAATAAAATAAAATTGAGTGAGAATGTTAGATAGCTTCAATATGGGATAACTTAATTAGCATGCCGAAATATTATTGAGTTAAATTAGTTGTTAAAGCTTTGGTACATTCCATCATGGATCAATATGACCAAGTCAATTATTTTTATTATTATTATCAGAACATCGAGTCAACCAAGTAAACGGTTGTCTATATGATAATGACAAGTCAACCGAGTAAACGGTTTCACATTATAAAAAAGAGCAACAGAAGAAAAGCAGGGACAAGAAGCCAAGTCACTGAGTGGGTGTACTCCGTGTTGGATTTGAAACCTACAATTTAGTGGACCATCATAGTGGCTAATAACACACCATTGTATGATTCAAAATTGTTCTAAAAGAAAAGATATCTACATTCGGTATCTGGTTAAAATCTAACTGCCGCAGGTAGAAAATGCTCCCATCAAAGTGGTGGCAACAAAAATGTGCTATTTTTATTAGTTTCTTTTGGCTATGGCATTGGTATAGCAAACTAGCTAATCTTGTTGCCGAAACAAAATATGACCTGAAATTTTATGCACCTGCTTCAACATGCGGAAAGAGTGTTACCCCTGCAGTCATTGCACTACTGCATTCATCAATAATGCACTACTGACTGTGACAATAGTTGTCGTGGAGCTACGGGACTGGGCCATCCCTCTTCAAGTTCATACAAGTTTTTAATTTTGAGTACAATTTCTAGTTTTATAGTCATTTAAATAGACCCTCCAAACTTATAAAATCCTTTAGTTATTAGTATCATTTCTATCTATTTTTTTTTTTTTAACAAATATATAGTCCTAATTAATTTGCAAAGAAAAATATACGTTACAATTTTGTCCCATTGACAAAGATGGACACATCACTCAAAGAAAGTATCTCGTCATGCACGGATATAACATAGGAGTATTAGTTGTTATTATTATTATTATTATTATTATGTGTGTGATTAGAGTCATTGTATAGTACTAAATAATAAGCAATTTTACAGGGAAAATGTATAAAGAAGTTGTTGGAAGTGCATACTACATAGCTCCAGAGGTATTAAAACGGAATTATGGAAAAGAGATAGATGTGTGGAGTGCAGGAGTTATTTTATACATCCTCCTAAGTGGGGGGCCTCCATTTTGGGCTGGTAAGTAGAATGTATGACTCTGTTTCGGTTCACAATGTGGCAAATAAATTTATATCATGATGGGTACACGTTTTAGTTTTATTTTCATTGGTTTAGTCATTAGTGAAATTACCTATCCAACAATTTTTAGAAACCGAGAAAGGCATATTTGAAGCTATTTTGGGAGGTAAGCTCAATCTGGAGAGCGCACCATGGCCTTCTATTTCAGAAGCTGCAAAAGATTTGATAAGGAAAATGTTGACTCTTGATCCCAAGAACCGTATTACAGCTTCTGATGCCCTTGGTAAGTATGTCGTTGCGTTTTCAATTTCACCAACTTACAGTCTCATAATTTTTCAACTATAGTATGGGTTTTATTAATGTTATGTTACATAACATAAGTTTAGTTTCCAACACACACAATAACGGGGAGAAAGAAAGTAAAATGATGAAAGAGAAAGAAAAACATGTGGACCTCACCTCTTTAATGTGTGTGTAGGAAAGTGAAGTTATGCTATGTAAAATAATAAACATAAAACCCTTATAGTATATGAATGTTGTGGTTCCAATTGCAAGGTATGAGACTTGGAGTCCCACATTGGTTGTATGGACAACTAATGTGGGATTTATAAGAGCTTGGTCACTCTCACCCTTTGAGCTAGCTTTTGGGGTGGTGCATCTCAAGGTCTCATCAAATATCCAAACTCTAAAATTAATCACCCCATTTCTCAAATGAAAAAAACATTTGCAGCCACCTATGGAATTGGAAAAGAAAAGAATCCTACGGAATTGTACTTTTTATATCTCAAAATGGGGTTTGGACATGGATGGCAGTTTAAACCCCATTACACAAGGCTCCCCGACTTGTGAGGGTGGGGATGAAGATTAATTATCCAAACTCTAAAATTAATCACCCCATTTCTCAAATGAAAAAAACATTTGCAGCCACCTATGGAATTGGAAAAGAAAAAAATAAGAAAAGAATCCTACGGAATTGTACTTTTGGGGTGGTGCATCTCAAGGTCTCATCAAATATCCAAACTCTAAAATTAATCACCCCATTTCTCAAATGAAAAAAACATTTGCAGCCACCTATGGAATTGGAAAAGAAAAAATAAGAAAAGAATCCTACGGAATTGTACTTTTTATATCTCAAAATGGGGTTTGGACATGGATGGCAGTTTAAACCCCATTACACAAGGCTCCCCGACTTGTGAGGGTGGGGATGAAGATTAATTGTACATAGTCTTACTTTTGTATTTTTGTAAAGAGATTGTTTTCTAAACTAGAAGTAACCTTCTCGTCATAAGGAGCGAACTTCTCCAAGAGTCGCCCTCTGCCGTTTAAACCCAATTAACTAAAATTAATTCATAGATTATTCTTAGTTTAAAGTTATATTCACATTATTCATTTGAACCAGAACACCAATGGATGAAGGAAGGTGGTGAAGCATCTGACAGGCCTTTAGACAATGCTGTTTTAATTAGGCTGAAACAGTTCAGAGCAATGAACAAGATGAAGAAACTTGCTTTAAAGGTACCTCAAAATTTTTGTTTATGCATAAAATTTGAATAATATGTATGTTCAATTCACACATAAAATGTAACTAGTCTTAGGTGTGCTCGGTTGATCAGTTATTGGAAAGTGGGAAGGTAAACATCACAGAATAAAAATCACTTTACATTTGCTTGGTAAACTAAAATATGAGAAAGTAGAAAATAAATACTCTTGACTATCTTTCTTGTAATAGACTTTTATTTTTTTATATGGAAGGTAATAGCAGAAAACCTTTCAGAGGAAGAAATCATAGGCTTGAAACAAATGTTCAACAATATGGATACTGATCGCAGTGGCACAATCACGTATGAAGAACTCAAATCTGGATTGTCCAGATTGGGATCCAAGCTAAGTGAATCTGAAATAAAGCAGCTAATGGATGCTGTAAGTTTAGTCTCATGCAAATTTAGAAAATAAATGTTTCTGTTGTTTCTCTTTATCATGCAAGAATTAATAAATTATGGTGCACACTCTTCTTTCTTCATATGTTTGCTCAGGCTGATGTTGACCAAAGCGGGACTATTGACTATCAGGAATTCATTACTGCCACTATAAACCGACATAAACTTGAGAAGGAAGACATTTTGTTTAAGGCTTTTCAATACTTTGACAAGGATAACAACGGGTGAGTTTGATCCTTACACATATCGTGACCACTTGATAACAGATTGTGATATCATGTAAAATAACAATTTCAATCCAATAACTAATTTGATAGAAGAAGGTACATTAATGTTTTTATATTATATTTCTTTAACTTTCACTGATATGTATCAAAATCACTGAGTGGGAAGTTATTCAGATTTTGAATGCAAGCCAGCATTGGTCCATATAAATTATTTAGTATCATATTTATGTCTATTTTAATTGTGAATTTTCTTAGGTTTTTGTTTAGCTAATGTTCTGTTTTCCTGACTTTGATCAGTTATATAACAAGAGATGAGCTTAGACAAGCTTTGACTAAATATCAAATGGGAGATGAAGCAACAATTGATGAAGTCATCGATGATGTTGACACTGACAAAGTATGTTATAGTTTATTATACTCTATTGGCCTCTTATAAGCGCTTCCCAATCTTCTTTATTCCTGTTATAATTTCATAGTTCTGGTCTTCATGTGAATTGTGTCTATATGCAGGATGGTAACATTAATTACCAGGAGTTTGTAGCTATGATGAGAAAGGGGACCCTGAATAATTATGAAAAAGACAAACCACAATAATTATGAGAAAGGTTTGAGAGTTGTTCTAGAAAAAACTCTTTTCTATCTTCATTTGATGTTCTATTTATAGTGATCAGATAGTGGCAGTTTTGTGATTATTGTAGCTTGTTCCTTTTACTGTTAGATTAAGGAATGCTTCGTCTTTTTGAATTGGATGGTTGAAAATGACTGAGTTGTTCTTGCTTTTCTTTCTCTTGTATCTGATTCTGATTTTGTGAGAACTATTATCCACTTCTTTCCCTGCCTTGATGTCATGATTGCCATGTTAATGGGTATCTTTTCTTACTTTTCTTTTTCTTTTTTCACTTTCTCACATTCACGCTCACTTATTTACTAAAACCAAAATTTATTGCATTTTCACTAATATTTACTATATTTTTTAAAGTGGGAACATTAAAAGCAGCGTTCCATCAATCGGAACGCTACATATGGGGCTGGAACGCAACCCCATCAATGTGTTTGCGCGTATAGCCATGAAATCATGAGTTGATTGGTTAATGTTTATCAGCCAAGAGAATCTAGTATGGACTTCCATTGTAGGGATCTATCCGATGGAGCTTAGCTCTTAGGAGTTCCATATGGGCATTTACTTGAGGTACAACTCATTTAGTGGACCTAGTATACTAGGTACACGAAGAGCATTGATGCTTGAGTAGATTCTATTGCCAAAATAATATGCATGGGCTTCCCTTTGGGGATTCATCTTAAGAGGTCCAACTCTTAAAAGTTGTATGTGGACAACACTTAGTGACGACTCATCATGTGGTCCTACTGTACTGGGTGCACGGATCAATCAATTCTAGATTGTCTCATTGTTTGATGTTATATTATGCCATGCATTCTAACCTTTCATGCGGACAAGTGAACTTAAAGATGGAGGAATCTTTATCGACCCTTAGTTTGCTGAGATTATATCTCACCCCGTTTGGGAGAATATATTTTAGGTCTTCAGGGAGGAGGAGTTGAACTTCAAGGGGAAAGAAGCATGTATAACTCTCACGACGATTGTTTATACCTGATGTGTTTATTTTTTGAGCATATGTATTTGGAGTGCCACGTTGAGAAACTTGCAATCTATGATAAAGCTGTGTATATAGCATATACATTTAGATTCAAGTTCATGAGCTATGGGTTGTAATTCCAGTGTTTGAGTAATATGTATATGATAAATTTGATGTATTTTGTAACACCCTGTGTGCATAAAATGTAACACCTCATTTGCACTATCTCTTTTATGGTATTAAGCGCAGCAATATTAATTAATAATTAATCACAATATTGCATGTCTAATAATAATAGCTTATCGTATAAATAATAACTCAACACTTATCAAGATCCCACGACAAACAAAGTAAACGAGATTCTGACAGCTCATAGTCTAATCGAAATTGCAAACTTGTCTTAGATCTTTTAGTCTTGATATTTTAAAATATAAAATTAGACATCTAGATCTATAAAATGACACCTCATTTATTGTATTTGGGTAAGAATTGAAAGAGTTATGGTTCTTTCAAGACAGATTGTTAAAATTTTTGACAATCAGCAAAATAAGGTTTCTAGCAGCTTTGGTTTCTCACCAAACTGGCAACGCATTTGATATTCAAAAATTTAGACACATGAAACTAGACTTCAGGGTCTTTAAAATGATATATAATATATCTTGTTTGGTTAAGGAACGAAGAACATATGACTTTTACAAAACTAGCCAGAACCTGGCAGCATGACATACGAACCTGGGCAGTGCTTATTCTTTTGAAAATTGGGAATGACTTATAATCCAGCAAATTCTAATATTCTAGGATATAAAAGTAGACATAATAAGCTTTGATTTGGTACTTTACTATCTTATTTAGTTAAGAATTGAATAAGATACAGACGTTCTAAGTTGACCCTTACGTTCCTATGACAAAAGCTGAAACTTGCATTATTTGTTTTAAGGTAGTCGATTACCAAGGTATGGTAATTGCTTACCATGTTGGCCAGAATCAAAATGGATAGCACCTAGCATTACTTTGATGATTTGGGATGCTTCATAAGTTCATTTAACATCTAATTGACCATTTCTCTTAGTCAATATCTAACATCCCGGGCGCTGACGAGGGCGGGGAGTGATCGCCGGTGCGCAACGGCACGGACAAGGAGCGGCTCCTAGCAGGCTTCCAGCGGCGGGGTACATGAATGAATCAAATAACACCGAAAAGAGAGGGATTCCATAGATTATGCTGGTATAGGACAACACAGCTGAGGATAGCTTATAAGAATTAATTGGTACTACCTGTAGAAACAAAATGCATCTGCTTTTCAGTAGCCCGGAATGGAAGAACTCCACAGTTAAGCGTGCTTGACTTGGAGAAATTCTGGGATGGGTGACCTCCTGGGAAGTTTTCCTGGGAAGTTTTCCCGGGAAGTGTGCGAGTGAGGACAAAGCACGCTGAAAAGTCTCGTGTTAGTGTGTGGGGACATTCATTGTTCCTTGCAAGTTGCCAGACGTTACAAGTGGAATCAGAGCAGGGCATCTCATCCAGTACGGTGTGGTTCGAGGATGAACCAGGCGGAAGCTGGTGGGCATGTAACATCCCGGGCGCTGACGAGGACGGGGAGTGATTGCCGGTGCGCAAGGGCACGGACAAGGAGCGGCTCTTGGCAGGCTTCCAGCGGCGGGGGTACATGAATGAATCGAATAACACCGGAAAAAGAGATTCGAGAGAAGGACAACACAGCTGAGGATAGCTTATAAGAATTAATTGGTACTACCTATACAAACAAGACGCATCTGCTTTTCGGTAACCCGGAACGGAAGAACTCCACAGTTAAGCGTGCTTGACTTTGAGAAATTCTGGGATAAGTGACCTCCTGGGAAGTTTTCCCGGGAAGTGTGCGAGTGAGGACAAAGCACGCTGAAAAGTCTCGTGTTAGTGTGTGGGGACAGTCGTTGATCCTTGCAAGTTGCCAGGCGTTGCACAATACATCCATTTACCATCCATAGATTTAATCAAGAGTAAACACCTTTTTTGGTCCCTGGCAATATCTACGAAATCCTTTTTAGTCCCTGGCAATAAAAAAAGGACCAAATTGGTCCCTAACAGTATGTAAAAAGGGCCACGTTAGTGACGAAGGAGTTGACGTAAGGACTAACGTGGCCCTTTTTTCATAATTTTAGGGACCAATCTGATCTTTTTTTATTGCCAGGGACTAAAAGGATTTCGTAGATATTTCCAGGGACTAAAAATGGTGTTTACTCTTTAATCAAATAGGCTTCAAGCCAACATTTTACATCAATTACATTCCATACATAATCTCTAATATAAAATCCCATATACACATCATTTGAACATTCAAATTATATAATATGATACTCAAACTTACAAGCTTTTGTTCCAAACTATACAAATTTCTCCAAAAACATAAGGCTAGACAAAATATATATGGATAAGCTAAAAATCCTCCAAAAAGCATCATGGCCTAATCATGCTCCTAAAGGCTAGGTAGGCTCCTTACCGCTATTGGCACTAGTTCCTCAATCTCCTTGTGGTCTTGAAATATGTTCGCCAACACGGGGTGAGATAAACATCTCAATAAACTAAGGGTCCTTGGAGGATTCCTCCACCCTTAAATTCACTTATGGTGCATAAGCATTAAAACTAGTATGATACATTATATCTCATATAAATGCATATCAATCACATCAAAGCCATTCTTCGAGCCAACTTGCCAACATAGGAATGCTCGTATGGCACTTCCGAGAAGAGTCCCTATATAATAACTCACACTATCAAATTATGTAAACAACAAATCAAACAAGTGTACAAGAAAACAAGTACGTGTTCAAGGAACTTATGACAAGTTAATCATGGAATTAATATGATAACATGAACAATGATACAATTCATGCCAAACAAGTCAATTAAGACAAAATATAATTATAAAAAAAGATTATGGGTCAAATTCTAAATATGGTAAAGTTTAAGGACCAAATTGCAAATAGACAAAACTTGGCCTAAACTTGATTTAAATGTTATATTAAGGAAGTTTAGAAAATTTTATGGTTTCATAATGATATCATTAGTGTTTGATTATATGGAGAAATTAAGATGTTAATGAAAGAATTATATGGGACCGAGTTGAAATTTTAGAAGAAAGTCAGAGGTCAACATTTCAATCACTTTAGTCACCAAAATTTGTCCAAGTCAGTTCATTCTTTCTTCTTCCATCCATGAGTTGTCGTTTGGCCGAGCTTCCATGGCTATGTTTCTTCAAAATTTTACTTCCTTTTTTAATCACTTTTAAGCCTAACTTCCTTCACAAGAAATTGTCCTTGTCATCTTAGGAGAGAAACCTTACCACTAGATCATCTTGAGAGACTCTAAGTAGTGAGATTTCCTCTCCTTTTTTCCTCTGCCACTGCTTATGCGAAGCCAAGATGATGTATTTTTGATGGTTTATGGCTTGGAGATTGATCTCTAGGTGATTTAGAAGTCATTGGAGGTAAGAAACTCTACTTTAAACGGTTGGTTTCTTGAGTTTGAACTTAGGTTTTCTCTTGAAATTTGATATAGATTATCATCATGAACACAATGTTTTAAAGTTGTTTTGGCCATTGGATGTGTTCTTTAGTATTTATGGAGTTAAGTGAATCATGTACGAACCATTGGAAGTTTGTAAAATTCATGAACTCTCTCATTCATCAATTCGGCCATCACTTGATAGTGGTAATTGGAAGTGTGTTTATGTTGAGTTGTATAATGGATATTGTTCCTTGATAATGGTGGAACTAAATGAACTAGGAGTATTGCAAGTTTATTAAATTCATGATTTTCCTTAGGTCATCATTTCGGCCATGTGGGAAAAATGCATGATGAAATGGGTTTAAATCATGTTTGATGATGGTTGTTAGTCCTTAGGCATGGTAATGTTAAATGGACCAAGAAATAGGTTTAATGAAGCTAGAAATCATGATGAACCCTAGGTACATAATTCGGCCAATACATGTAATTACTCTTCAATATTTATCATAAATTCCTTAACCCATAATTAAATCCACAATTACAAATTTGGGTCATTATATATGTTGCATTTTATATACCATTTTGCATGTTAACAAACCAGCTGCTGACGGGGCGTTACACCCTATGGACTCCCCTTCTCAGGTTTTAACCACAAGAAGTTGTTACACGCAACTAGCTCCAAGGGAAGTCCACATATCTATACTTTGAGAAAAGTCCATACGGGCTCCCCTTCCTGGGTTTATCACACAAACACTCTCCTGGACAGTGAACCATCACAAATAAGCATCACTAAAGCA